CCTCCTCAGCAGCGCTAAGGATGTCTGACTGCAGCTTAGGACTGCTCCCCGCTGGCAAATGGACATCTCCCGAGGGCTGCCAGGCTGCCAGAGGGATATCTGACTGCCAGCTTGGGCCCAATCCCCCAGAGAGCGGGCCTTAGCCAGCAGGGTCCCAGATTGCAAGAGGGCATAGGCCGGGCTGAGGGACCCCCCGAGTGCATAATGTTATCAACCTATTACAAATTCATTCTTCATAGACATGGTTGCAGATACAGAGGTGGTACAAACATGGCCTCGGATTCAGGAATTGACACTCAGTTTGGCAAATTGCTGTATTTTGTGGTGCAGAACACAAGAGCCATAAGAGTAAGAGAGGACAGTAAGTGCCGGTAGAAACAAGGAAGACATAAGCTGGAGGAGAAGAAAGCAAATTTCAGGACAGGGTGGTAAATTGAGAGGTCATGGTTGGAAGGAAGATACCTTTAGCGGTCCAGTGAAAAGACTGGTCTGGATGAAGTTGCTGGAAAGAGTTAAGCAACATCTTTGAATGGGTAGGAGCAAGCCCAGTTGTGCATGAGGCTAAGTTGTTTAGATGAGCTGGGTATATTAGTGGTATTTTTATTTTAGGTTGTGGTTTTCTAAGTGAAATTGAATTAGTTGCCATATTGCAACCATTGGGTAACAACTCTTATACTTGAGAATGTGGCTAAATAACCACTTAGTCAAGGAATGGTATTGCTTATCTGTGGCTCCAGTGGGCTTTTGACTAAGTGGCAAAATTCCTACTTTAGAAGAAATTTGTCAAAGAAGAATTGTACCAGACAAATTAAACAGGCTAGGAAGACTCTATTCAGAACTATTACAATAGGGATCAAAGCTGTTACAGTAGAAGAAAGATATTGACTTAACTCCTCCAAAACAAAAGAAGGGAAGGAATTTAAGTGCTGTGGTGAACTAGTAGGCAAGTACTGGGGGACATTATAGAGGAGGTGGTTTGTGTGATTTTGTCATCTCTATTTGCTAATTAATATTTCTTAAAGTTAGGCTCCTACTGTCTCACAGAGACTATAGGTGACAGGGATGGTATCTTTCTTTTCTTTTTTCAAATTTAAATTCTTTATTGTTTAAAGTATTAAATATGTCTCCTTTTCTCCCTATTGACCTCCCCCTGGCTGCTTCCACCCCCCCCCCAGCATTTGCCCTCACCCCCTTACTGTCTGTGTCCATTGGTTATGCTTATATGCCACCCCCACTGCCTTCCCTCTGAGGTTTGATGGTCTGTTCAATGCTTCTATGTCTCTGGATCTGTTTTTATTCATCAGTTTATGTTGTTCATGATACTCCACAAATGAGTGAGATCATGTGATATTTCTTTCTTTCTCATGATGACATTTTAAAGGGCTGGCTCCCAGGTCCTTGAGAAAGATATTCCTGGGTTGTAGGAGATTTAGGCCTCAGAAGGTGGAGTTTTACAATTGCAAGTTATCTAAAGTGAGTGCTCTGAGTAAAGGGAGCTCGGGCCTATAGTCAGGAGAAACCTGTCTAAAGTTTAGTCAAACTGAGGGGAATATTAAGGCCATCTTGGTCAGGAGACACTTTTTTTAGAAATTATGTCATGTGGAACTAGCCCTTGAATGCTTGTAACCCTTTGGAAATAGAAACGCATTTACACAGTGAATTATTTTTAGACCAGAAATGCTCTTGATATAATTATATGAATTATAAACCAAGGGAAGATCTCTCCTTGATTTTGTGTCTCTCTGGATCTCAAGTGCTTATTATTATTATTTTTCCTTAGCAGAAAAGAACTATGCCTCGAGGCTTTCCTTCCTCAGGCAATGTCTTAAAGTAGAATTGAGTTTTATGTGTTATTAAGAGTTCCATTTAACTTTTCCATTTTCACTTAGGAAACTTAATGGACTTTCAGGCTTCCTGGTGCTGGTAATTAGGGCAATTCAATGTGAATCTCAATGTGTTTAAGTGGCAGCACATATATTACTTTCTCTCACATTCATCTCTCTTCACAGGCAGCATCCCACATAGTATAAGATATTGAAAATTCAGAACCTTGTGGATGACCCAACATTAATAACAGAAGCATTTAAACCTTACATTACCAGGGTGCTTTATTGTTTTTAATCACTTCCACACACACAATCTCATCTTGTCCTCCCAGTAAACACTGTGGTAGGATTTATCACAAGCATTTTAAAAATATTGTCCTGCAAATGGCAATACTCAACCCTGGGCCTCTGCCTCCTACTTTAATGTCTAGTTAGAAACTCTCAATCATTTTTCAGATATAGATATTGAAATTAGCTTGAGTTTAAAAACCACTATGCTCTCCTTTTTTTAAAATGATAAATTGGAATACTTCTGAAATATTCAGTGTATTTTTGTGATACAACTTTAGGAAAACCTCATAATTATTCAAGCTCATTAATTCAGTTGGGTCTTCTAATTATAGGCATAAGAATTCAAGCTAAAGGCACATATTTTTCTTAAAAAACTAAATATTATGATAAAATAAAATTAACAAAAGTACTTTTATACTACTCTGGAACTGAATTTTAATAATAGCCTTTGACATTGACAATGAAGAATAATTTCTGAAAAAATCTGCATATACTTTGGCATATCTTTGGGAAATTGTCTACATATGTGATTGAATTTAATAAATATTTCTGTTTAATATCCATTCTCCCCCCCACCACCACCACCAAAAAAAACAACAACTATATTTGACATACCATGGGTATAGGCAGAAAAAAAAACAATTTTTAAATATTTCATTCTGAAATAGATATCAAGAATAACGTTGTCCAAAATATTGTCTCTTTAGCCTGATCACTCATGTTTGAAATATTTTTTTTGTCATCAGGCAACCCTGCCCAGCCCACTTCTCTCCACTACATGAATCCTTACCAACTGAATGCCTATGGGATGGCACTGAAAGCAGTGGGAGAAATCGTTCAAGATTATGACAGTGATAAAATGTTCCCAGCTCTAGGTTTTGGTGCAAAACTGCCTCCAGATGGAAGGATATCTCATGAGTTTGCTTTGGTAAGAATATGTCACAAGGATTGGATATTTTGAAAAAAAAAAACAAAACATGTTGAATTTTTAAATATCGGTTCACTGTTTCTTCTTTAGTCAGTCATGTAGCAGGCTTTTGTGACAGTAGACTCTGCTTAATTTGCTCAGTGATTGACTTAGGGATGTGCTATTAATGGAAACAAAGACAGTTAAATAGATTAACAATAAATCTCTACCTAAAGTGCATCTGATTTATAAATAGGGGGTCTCTTATAGTTTTCTATCGCTGCATAACAAACCCCCCTAGACGTTTTAGGTGTAAACCAACAGCATTCTGTTATGTTCATGACTTGTAATGTTTGGGGCCTCCCCTAGGATGGCTTGATTGGCTAGAGACGGCTGGAATTGTTCAGACGGAACCATATTCTTGATTCTGGCTGTCAGTTGGATTCCTCTGTTCTTCATGTCCTGTCTCCTGGGGCTAGCATGCTCCCTAAGATGGCTTCTTTGCTCGTGTCTGATGACTGAGCTGGGATGGCTGAGATAGCTGCGTTGCTTGGACATTTTCCCCTCTTTCTACATACAACCTCTCCACGTGGTCATCATGGGATCCTCAGTATGGTGGTCTCCTGGTAGTCAGATTTCTTACATGACAGCCGGTTTCCCCAGAGTGAATATTCTAAAAGGCGGGGGCAGAGACTACAGGGCTCCTTATACCACAGCCTTGGAAGTCCTGGAAAGCTCCTTGAGCCACATTCTCTTGCTCAAACAAGTCACTAAGGCCAGCCCAGTTTCAAGGTAGGAGAAGTAACTTTTACCCCTCAGCGGGAGGCAGATCAAAGAATGTGTGACTGTATTTAATCTACCTAAAATGCATCTGACTTATAAATCTTCTAAATAGCTTCTTTTAAAATGGCATTTCAAATTTAGAGAACTAGTCATGGCTGGAATTAATTTTTTCAAATATGAAGCAGCACTTATGGCTATAATTAATTAAGATTTAAGTATACTGGAGTAGATATGAGTGGAATAAAAACATTTCTCTAGTTAATGTTTAATTTACATAGATCTATTTTCATTTGTGTGACTGCAGGTAAGCAATGTGTTGCAATCTACCTTCAAAATAGACTCCACATAGATAATGCTGATAGGCCCACCCAGCCTTACTCTTACATGCACTTTCTGATAAATAATGGGGAAATCAATATATGATGGTGAGCTATTATTTTGGAAAAAATTTAGATTTTCCTAATAGAGGTACCTTCCTAGCCTACACTACATGTTATAACAGGTAGATAATCTCTCCAGTCACCCATATTGTTGTAGGTCTTTGTTTGTTGTTTTTATTCTTATTACAAAAGCAATGTATGCTCATTATAGGATTTTCATTCTGAAATAGATATCAAGAATAACGTTGTCCATAATATTGTCTTAATTTGCTTAAGTTCTATAAGCAAAGTAGACAAAAATAAACACATATACTATCTTTACTAAGTAATTACTGAGTATCAATCTAAGTCCTTTATAATTGTTTTCTTATTCAATCTTCATAAAACTTCTGTGTGGTAGAGATATCATACCTCTCACATTATCCCACGGTAGCAAGTGCCACTCATATTGAATACGATAAGAAGACTGCATCCAAGAGTTATATCACTCGGCTCAGAGGCTCAGAGGCTTAACTAGGGTTTTAACAAACAGGACTTGAACCCAGATCATCCTATTTTAGAATCGATTCTCTTAACCACTATTAAGCCACATTTTATAAAATACCTGTAATACTACTGCTCAGAAATGTGTTTTATTAACACCATTATTATAATATAAAATACTGTTTTAAGAACAGTATTTTAATATTATTACTGCTGTATTTATTCTTCTCTATTCTATCCCCCACACAATTTCAGAAAAAAAAGGTTTCTATAGGGTTTAATTCTTTCTCCCATGAAATAGGCCACATGCCACACCCCCAATGTCATATAAAAATGAGTATCTGTTGGGATTTTGTTTCTGGAGAATTAACATTTCTCAGAATCTTATAAGACCATGAAAATCACTCATGTGATCCTAAGTCTTAAATGCCTCAGGAAAAAGGTCACGAGCTATTTTAAGCCTAAGAGAAGAAATAATTATGTTAAACTAAATGAGGTTTATTACTTTTCCTTCCATGAATGTCCTCTCACCCTTGTGTATGATTTTCTTCCTTTCTCTCTCTCTCTCTCTAATCCCCTCCTCCTCTTCTTCTTCTTCTTTTTACCTCTACATTTATTCTTTGTATTCAAACCTATGCCAAAAACTACTGCTAAGGAAGGCTTTTTTTTCTTATTTGCACCTTGAACTGTTCTTTCAATTCAATTCAAATACTTATAGGATAGAGTCATACCCCTTTAACTTTATAAAAAATAATCTCCCAAATGACTATGAAAACAATGAGATGTTGCTGCTGATGATAATACTTCAGTTTTAATATTACTTAATTGTTGTATAACTTTAATTTTTTTCAAAGCACTTTTGTTTACTTAGAAAAGCCAGACAAAGGTTAAATAAGCCTTCAATGAGGTAGCATTTGTCTTGATTTGTAGGAAAATATTCTGAATTAAGCTCATCATAAATAACCGCAATATATATTCTATAAGTGCCCAAAATAGCAAATACAAAAACTTCAGTCCCATGTCAATAGGGCACTTCATGTACTACCTAATGTTCACAAACTCTCAGGTTTCCCTGGTAAGAATTGTGATGTGTAGTCACAACCATTAATCTTTTTATCCACACCAAGTTCACATAATCTTTCAAGTGACAAGGGAGGCCTTTTAAAAAAATTAAATACTCCCTGTTTGGTGAGTTTGGGGTTGTCTCAAAAGCTGAAATTGAGCTTTGCTGAATCAAAAAGATCTCAGGTAAACCCAGGCTTCCCATGTGAAATATGTGTAAGAATGGATGTAGTCGCATAAGAAAAGGGGGTGGGAAAAGATAGGGAAAAAGTCCTAGCATCACCTGTGAAGCACTAAGGGTCGTGAAAATGATGAGTCATTTCTCCGATCTCTTTGTGATTCTCAGTGACTCCTTCTGGAGTCGTAACTGAAAATACAATAGTGTGGGGCTTCAGAGGACGTATTTCCCATAGCCCTGTGGCCAGTGATCCTCACAAGAAGGTCTGTTGCATCGATGAATAGAGAAATGCTACACCTGTCCAAGCACTTTCTCCTACTAACTATCTAAAAGAACTTGAAGGCTTTTCACTTATTTGGGCATTTATAGGTATCTATGCAATTTAATATCTATGTGTATGCCTTTTCTTTAAACTAGACATAACAGTTTAACAACCAAGGGTCTTTACCACTGTTTGCATTAAATAGCAGCTCCATAGATGTTTGTTTATTGAATAAAAGGGCGAATTCTCTCAGCTTTTCCCCACAGTCAGCAGTCTCTGGGCAGCCACAGGTAACATTTCAAAGAATAAAGCCCGGGCTCCTGAGAGCGTTTTGTCAGTGTGCTGGCCCTGCTGGAGAATATTATAGGCCGTAGGTAACAATGGACCATAGGCTTCTTGCCCAGAACTGAATCTAACTCCCCAATTACAATCCCTTAGGGAGCCAAACGGAGGGAAAGTGGGTGAGAGGTGGACACCCCTCCCCACTGAAGTCTGCACAGTAGGATTATTGCTCATTTTGAATTCTGTTCTATATATTTCTATGTGTTTCACCAATTGACATTCATTATTTTATAAATGGAAAAGTTGTTAACCCCTTGAGTGCCGGGGAGCACGGTCACGCTCCTCCTGTCTTTCGCCAAAAGTGCCGGGACCGCAATCGCGCTCCTCCTGCAGAGTCCAGTTCTAAGTCTGCTTTTATTAGTGATGATGATATTGCTAAACATGTCAATTCTTGCTGTGAAGATGACGATTTTGTGGAAGATATTGAATATGTAACTTCATTTACTTGCGATTCATAATTTTTTTCCTAAACTGCTATAAAATCAGCAAAAATGCCTTGGCAATTTTAGCATAGTTCCTAGGATATTGGTTGGCACTCTGAAAAGGGAATATAAAATAGAGCACCCTTTGCCATCTTCATTAATGTAAGACGAAAATGAATCCTCTTATTTTTTAAAATGTCCTGTATTTTTGTGTGCCAGATCCTGATACAAGCTTATTTTAATTTGTTTTAACAAGCAAAAACTAATTTCCAACATAATTATTTTAAGAAATGAGTTTTTAAAAAGACTTAAAAATCATTTTATAACTCATTACAATGTTGTCATTAAGAAGAAAATCTTTCCACTAAGAAAATTAAATGGTGAGAAAAATGGTGACCTTGTAATTTCAATTCCAGAGAAATAGAGGAAATATATAGTTTTATAGAAATATAAACTCTCACTCAAATGTTAAAAAGACAAAAAGCTCAGAATTATCCTGGCGTGTAAACCTCAGAATTATTCTTCAAGGGAGATATATTATACATTTGAATGCCCAAAATGAATAATGAGCTTTAATTTTAATTGCTTCATACTTTATCAAGGGAAAAGAACACTGTAAAATTTTATCTAAATGAAGGTTAAATAGGTCAGCTCAGATTAACATCAAAACCCCCCTTTAACTGCTTTGTGCTAAATATTGAACTTTTATATTTTAATTGAATCAACTGCTGTAACCAGTTTTATAATATAAAGAGGTCTTTATGAGTTTTATGCTTTTAAAATTTACATGAGGTTTAGTTAATAAAAAGTTTGAAGGAAAAAAAAGCAGAAATAAAAGGAAAACGTGTATACATTCTTATCTCACAAAATGGCAACATTGAAGTGGTTGATCATATCTGGCTTAGTTTCCTAAGATCCCCAGGCTTTCAATATGCTCAGGATTTCCTAACACGATGGCATAGTGTGGTGAGGAGACTGGACTCTGGGCTTAGACTGCATGGGTTCAGATATTGGCTATTTCATTTGTGTTGTGTGGCTTTTGGGCACAGTATTTAAGTTGTCAGTGTCTTAGTCTATTAAGCGGAAAAAATGACACTCGTTTATCTACTTTCTTAGGGTGGTTATAAAAACTATATAATGTATGTAAATATTTTCATATCAAGCTCAGTATACAGAAGTCAACAAATTTTAGTTACACATTAGCAGTTCCTTGTGATTGTTCAAACACATACATGCTAAACTTATTGCTATGTTTAAACATTGTTACTGTTTAGTGTTTTAAAAAAAGATCCACAACTTTTATTTATATCTCTTCCCCCTTCCAGAGGTAGAGCCTGATTCCCCTTCCTTTGAACGTGAACTATACTTAGTGTTTCATTTCTAGCAGACAAATGAAAGTAGAAGTCATAGTGTGCAATGTATGAGACTAGCTTATAAAGGCATTGGGACTTCCTCCTTGCTCCTTCTCTTGGATTGTTCATTCTGGGAACGTTAGCTGCCATGTTGGGAGAACACTCAAGTAGCCCTATGGAGGGCTCTTGTTGGACTCCTGCCAGCAGCTGTGTAAGTGAGCCTTCTCAGAAGCAAATCCTCCATCTCTGGTCAACCTTTCAGATGCCCAGGTCTGCATCTTGACTGCGAACTCGAGAGATTTTTAGTGAGAACCTCCTAGCCAAGCTGCTCCTGGGTTCCTGACACCCCAAAAATGTGTGCGATAATAAATGCTTATTGTTTTGAGCCACTAGCTTTTGGGATAATTTGCTGCATAGAAATAGGTAAAGAATGCACTGCCTTATGTGTGTTATCTGTGGAATCTGGATGAGGAGAATTAAACCTACTGATTACAGAGCATGCAAGGTTTGAAAGGCTAGACCAGGTCTCCAGGTTTAAAGTTGCCCTTCTGGGTGCTATCTTTCAGAATCACTCCTTGGTGGCAGCTCCATTTCCCTTGGACAGCATGGATATATTTCTTGGATTCTTTTCCTTTTACCTTGTTTTGATATTTCTGACACCAAATTACATTCCCTCTGACCCCTTCTCCAGTTGGAGTAGTCAAGTATGGCCTGAAGGTGTGCATGTAGAAGATGTTTTACACTTTTCTTTCTATAAGGGAAAACTGCATAGATAGCATTTTTTTCTGATTTTAATACATAACTGCATGAAACTTGAAAATATAGATTTGTTTAAAGGGTGAAATAAAAGCCCCCACTTATATAACCACTCAGAGTAAACTATCTAATATTTTATTTATTTTTTCCCAGGATTTTTACATATTCATCTCCACATGTACACAGGCCTGTGTAAAATTAAGACTGTTAATTATAGAATGTGATACTCAGCTTCTCAAGATTACTTAAAATCTTCTCCTGCCATTGCTTTTAACACGTTAAATGCCATATCAGTCACCAGTGACTGACACTATACTTTCCGTCCAGAAGACAAAACAGGCTGGGCGCTTAACGTGTTAAATGTATCTATATTTAACTATTGTGCACATTACATTATCATTTTACAATCTAAAAAATACATTGTAATCTATTATTGACCACTTAGTTTTTGCAATTATAAATATATAAATTAATATTCTTCCAAAAATTTTTTATGGGTATCAGTGTGTATTATTCTCTTTTCAATTGACCTTGATTGACACTTAATTTTTTACTATTTTTTTTTTACTGTGATGTTCTACAGAATGGGAACCCTCAAAACCCCTATTGTGATGGCATTGAGGGCGTCATGGAGGCTTATTATAGGAGTCTGAAATCTGTGCAGCTGTATGGGCCAACCAACTTTGCTCCTGTAATTAACCACGTAGCAAGGTAAGTTGGAAGTACACAAGGTATTTATTCTATTGTATGGAATCACAGTGAAATCATTACATTATTGTTAGAATGCCCTCACAGATGAAAGTTTTTTTTTTCTTCTAATTTACCTCCAAGAAATTGAGGTAAATTTTGACGTAGAGTGGAAAGTCTCCAATGAGTTATTATGATACTTTGCTAAAACTTTTACATCAAAATCTCAAGTGAAGAAACATACACTGAGTTATGATAGGACCTGCATTTGTTCAACCAAAGAAAATTTCTTGTCTTTGAAAAGGCCTTCATGGGAGCAATAACAAGATTAATCATGATCTCATCTGTGTAAATTATTCAGATCTACTATCGCATTCTATAGTAGATAGAAGTAATAAGAAACTGAATTCCATGAAGACAACTTCCTTTCAGTGATATATAGGGCACATTATTTTCACTCTTCTGAAATTAATATACTTGTTAATATTCTAAATTCCCAGAGCTCTACCTGCATATAATACATAGTATTGAGATCAGAATATAATTGCTATGATTCCAAGTACATGTTCTGAAAAAAAAATTTACTGTAAAAATCCATATACATTTCTTTATCATTTTTTCATTAGTGCATAAAATAAATTAGATATCACTTTTGAAATACTTACAAGTTTGGCTTGGCCCAGTGCAAATCTTATGAAACCTTGCCAATTTTCAGATTGTCAAATAAGCATGGCTTTTGTATTCTTTCTAATATGTAGTCAACATTTGAAAAAATGACTGCTTTCGGATCAGTTTATCAGTGCACAAGGGCAACGTGAATCTTCAGTTCTCTATTTGAAGGTTCTGGTACTTTACCATGTTCCTTTTGCACATCATGAGCAACTTAAGTGTGTTCTACTTTTCATTATCTGGGACATAGAGAAGATGCTAAAATAACCCCCTACCCAGGGCTGACCCCAGAGGCCTCTACTATGGAACTCCATCTCAGTTTGGCAATGATACATCGATGACGATTCTCTAAGTGTGACCCTTTAACTCAGGTTTTCTGAACATTCTTATCCACCACCTGTACTAAGTTGTAAATTTTACATCTCAACATACAACATAAAAAAGATTATGGAATAATACTTACCTTATATTTTCTTTTTATTTCCATGATGTCCTTTTTGTTCTTATTACTTTTTTATGAAGCAGGTCTTGACCCACAAAACTGATTTCAAAATCCACTAATGGGTCATTACCTGTAATTTGAAAAACACAGCTTAGCTTATTGTATTAGCTTGTATAAGCAGTGTTATCTGTACACTATTTTCCTACTGTTTTTTATGGCTGTCAAGTTAAGCAGAATCAAAATAATATTAATGCAAGATCAATTATAGTTGACTCTCTCTTCCTGTCACAAACGACCATCCAGATTACTGTTTTATATACAAAGATAAGAGGAAAATGATAGGACTTAATTTTGTCTGAGCTCATTGTAGTTATAGATGTTCTCATCAGTGCTTATCGATTAACTTTACATTTTTTTTGATCCGGTATATCTCTACTACAAAAGTTAAGCTTTCAGATGTAAAGTTTCTAGGTGCATTTCGATGTGCCATTTAAAACTATGGGCTTCACCCTGCTCTATTACCGTTTTTTATGTTTGGTCCAGCACTTTTAAAATTCTCAAACATAGCTGTAATTGCCAGCTAGCGGTTTCAGCCTCTTTAAAAATAATCCGTTATTTCCCTGGCTCATGGGGTCAGTTGGTTGGGCTTCATCCCATGCCCAGAAAGGTTGCTGGTTCTATTCCTGGTCAGGGCACGTGCCCAGGTTGCAGGTTCCATCCTTGGTTGGGGGCATGCAGGAGGCAGCAGACTGATGTTTGTTTGTTTGTGCTTTTTCTCTATCTCCCTTTTCCTTTTCTCTTTCTCTAAAAATCAAAACAAATACTTTTTAAAGAAAGAAAATAATTTGTGATCTAATAGTTCAGTATTATTATTTTTTAATGAGAAAAAAAAGAAACACAAAGATAAGGCTTTTGGGGAATGATCTCTTCCAATACAATTAGAAGTCTCATGTATGGTTAGCTTGTTATGACTCTGAGTCAGTTTCTTATCTTTTTTCTTGCTCTCTCTATTCCTGAGAACTAGTTATGAGCTAAAAGAATATTCCACAAATCTGAGCCAACCATTTATGAGTCTACAAAAACAATCCCAGGAACTTACTTGACAAAGACTCCAAAGAAATGTGTTTGAATTCCAAAATCCTGACAAAGTGAACCTCTCCCTCAGATTTGTCATATAATATTAAAATATAAATTAAAGGTATCCTATACTTGAAAAAAGATAGCAGCCTTTCAATAATAAGAGTTTTGCCCTAGCCGGTTTGACTCAGTGGACTGACGGGTCCCAGGTTCCATTTTGGTCAAGGGCACATGACGGGGTTGCGGGCTCAATCAGCCTCTCTTTTCTACTTTACACATTTCTATAGCACTTAAATTATTTTTTCGTAAACATAGAATACTGTTAGTACAAAATATGATTTTGTTTGAAATTAAATTAACTTGTGAAGTGCCACAATATGAGAATGTGTAGAAGAAACACCATTAAAACAATGCATACTTTAAAATAACTAACTTATGATGCTTATGGTAATAAATATAAAATTGGATTGAATAGTTCTTATGTAGAATTTAATTTAGCTTTAAAGCAGTATATCTAAGCAGAAGTGAGAACATGGTAAACTCATATATCTTTCTATAGCATTAATTTTTCTCAAAGTTAAGAAATGTAATATAAGTCATATTTATTATAAAGTAAAATGCAAAATTTCTATGAATTTTAAGATAAAATAACAAACTTCAGAGAAATTTCTAGTTTACTGTCTGCTTCAGGATCTAACCCTAACTCTCTTGGTAGTATCAAAATATTCTCCTGTTCTTTTTAGTATACTTTCTAATGATTAAAAAAACCCCAAAATATAAGTGGATTAAACTCACCAATCTAAAGACAGAGTTAGTGAGTGGTTAAAAAAAAAGCAAGACCCAACTATATCCTCCTATATAATAAAAAGCTAATATGCAAATCAACCGAAAGTTGGAAGAACCGGTTGCTATGATGCACACTGACCACCAGGGGCCAGGTGTGTATACTTTCTAATGATTAAAAAAACCCCAAAATATAAGTGGATTAAACTCACCAATCTAAAGACAGAGTTAGTGAGTGGTTAAAAAAAAAGCAAGACCCAACTATATCCTCCTATATAATAAAAAGCTAATATGCAAATCAACTGAAAGTTGGAAGAACCGGTTGCTATGATGCGCACTGACCACCAGGGGCCAGGCGTTCAACACAGGAGCTGCCCCCTGGTGGTCAATACACTCCCACAGGGGGAGCGCCACTCAGCCAGAAGCTGGGCTCATGGCTGGCGAGCGCAGCGGCAGTGGTGGGAGTCTCTCCTGCCTCAGCAGCAGTGCTAAGGATGTTAGACTGATGGCTTAGACAAATCTCCCTAATCAGTGGTTTGCAAACTGCGGCTTGCGAGCCACATGCGGCTCTTTGGCTCCTTGAGTGTGGCTCTTCCACAAAATACCGACTTCTGCGCATGGGCCACGAAATTTCAATCGCACTGTATATGCATGCCCGCACGTGGTATTTTGTGGAAGAGCACACACTAAAGGGGCCAAAGAGCCGCATGTGGCTTGCGAGCCATAGTTTGCCAACCACTGCCCTAAGTCATCAGTTGGATGTGCCGCGAGGGCTCCTGGACTGCAAGAGGGCACAGGCCGGGCTGAGGGACCCTCCCAAGTGCACGAATTTCATGCATCGGGCCTTTAGTTTTGTCTATAATAAACTAAACTTAGATTTAAGGACCTACATAAGCTGAAAATGAAAGGATGAAGAAAGATATTCTTTGCAAATGGTAACTGAAAGAGAGTAGGCAGGAGTGTCTATATCAGACAAAATAGACTTTAAGTTAATTACTTACACAGGAGACAAAGAAGGTCATTACAAAATAAAAGCGTCAATTTATGTGGTATATATATACACCCTTTTGTATATATATAAAATCAGCCTTAGAAAAAGGTGTACCTGCCATTTGCAACAATATGGATCAATCTGAAGGATGTAAAGTGTAATGTTAGGTAAAATGAGCCAGATACAAAAAGAAAAAAAAATAAACCTGCATGATTTCAATCATATGTGAGATTTTTAAAAGTTGAATACATAGAAACAGAGAGTAGAATGGTGGTTACCAAGAGTAGGGAGGTAGGGAAAATGGGGAGATATTGGTCAAAGGGTACAACTTTGGTTTATGTAGTATAAATATGTCTAGAAATCTAACATTACATGATTACTATAGTTAGTACTATATTGAGTACTAGAAATTTGCTAAGAGAATAAATTTCAGGTACACTGATCACAAAAATATATGGGAACTATGTGAGGAGATAACATGTTAATAAGCTTACTGTAATATTCATATCACTATACATATAAAAATTTTGTACACCTTAGATAAGTACAATTTTTATTAAAAAGAATAAAAAATTTTAAAAGGGTTAATTCACAGAGAGATATAATAATTACTAATATGTATGCCTGTGGTATCACAGCAGTTAAATATATAAGCAGAAATTGACATATCTAAAATGATAAATAGACAGCAATACAATAATATTAGACTTCACTGCCCCACTTTCAATGATGGATAGATCATCCAGACAGAAAATGAAACGGAAACAGCTAACTTGAGCAAACACTTTAGGCACTTTCAATGATGGATAGATCATCCAGACAGAAAATGATACAGAAACAGCTAACTTGAGCAAACACTCTAGGCAAGTGGTTCTCAACCTTCCTAATGCCACGACCCTATAATACAGTTCCTCATGTTGTGGTGACCCCCAATTTCATTGTTACAAATTGAACATAATTAAAGCATAGTGATTAATCACAACAATATGTAAATATATGTGTTTCCCGATTGTCTTAGGCGACCCTTGTGAAAGGGTCATTCGACCCCCAAAGGGGTCGCGA